TTCTCCATATGCTACCGTTCTCCCCACACCTGCCTCACCTTGGCACAGAAGACCTCTCACATTTCCCTGCCCTTCTCTATGTTGTCAAGGACATGCCACCAAAACAGGCACCCACTTGCCTCCAGGGCAGATAACCACGTTTTCAAGCATTAGAGCAGATTAGAAAATAAATTTCATTTGTAATATTTATTTAAATTAACTATGAGGCATACAAAACATCCTTGAAAGTAATTTGAAATTACCATTAACAAAAGATATTTACCTTAATCCCTAAAGTTATACACACACACACACACACACACACACACACACACACACTTCAAATCAGAAATAACCTAAAGTCACTTATAGTTATTACAAAAGGTATAATATATTTTTGGAACATTCTTTGTTGACTCGAAGATTTCCAAGTTTAGTGAAAATAAAAATCACCTAGCTATTTCCTTCCTTCCTTCCTTCCTTCCTTCCTTCCTTCCTTCCTTTCTTTCTTTTTTCTTTTTTTAAGAGATTTTGGCTGAATCTATCAACATTTTATTTTTATTTATTGTTTCTCTGTTAAAACAATTTTTTAAAGTTTTTATTAAAATTCCACCTAGATAACCTACAATGTAATTAGTTGCAGATGTATAATATAGTGATTCAACATTTCCGTCCAGCATCCAGTGCTCATCACAATTGCACTCCTTAATCCCCATCATCAACTTAACTGGTCCTCCCACCCACCTCCCTTCTGTTAACCATCAGTTTGTTCTCTGTATTTAACAGTCTGTTTCTTGGTTTTCCTCTCTTTTTTCCCATTTGCTCATTTGTTTTGTTTCTTAAATTACACATATGAGTGAAATCATATGGTATTTGTCCTTCTCTGACGGATTTATTGCATTTAGCATAATGCTCTCTACCTCCATCCATGTCACTGCAAATGGCAAGATTTTATTCTTTTTTAAATGTTTATTTATTTATTTATTTTGAGAGAGAGTGAGCACATGCATGAGAGCAGGGAAGGGGCAGAGAGAGAGAGTGGGGGGGGGGGGGAGAATCCCAAGCAAGCTCCATGTTGTCACCGCAGAACCCCATGTGGGACTCGATTCCACAAACAATGAGATCATGATCTGAGTTGAAATCCAGAGTTGGATACTTAACCAACCGAGCCACCCAAGCGCCCCAAAATTTCATTCTTCTTGGTGGCTGAGTAATATCCCATTGTGTGTGTGTGTGTGTGTGTGTGTGTGTGTGTATGTGTGTGTACAGCACATCTTCCTTATCCATTCATCAGTGGACACCTAATTACTCTTTAAAAAATACATACATTCCCACTTGTCAAGTCGCATGCCTATTAATTCAGAATTTTTATTTTCAGAAAGCACCCTATCTGGTACAGTAGGACCATGATTCAATTGTTCAAGAAACATTGAATTAGGAGACAAGAACATCTAGTTTACTTTTAAATTCCTTCTCTCCACCGTGTGAATTTAACTGAACATACATGGCATAACATGATTTCAGAATGCTAGAAAAGGAGCTGAATGTGAAATATGAATGTAACTTGCAATTATTCTTTCTTGATTGACTTTCTATTCACTTTACACTAAAATAGAACCACATTTACACACACACACACACACACACACGTACAAGGAAGTATGTAATGGAGAATTAAAGTTGGTAAAAAAGCAAAGAGATGATTTTTGTTAGTTACTGATATATTGATGCTTCCTGTCTTCTGTTTTCCTAGAATTTAAAGAGAATTAGAAAGGCTGCCAAATGCTGTGGGAATTTAAATACCATTAAATTAAGCACAATAAAATGATAGGGAAACACAAAGTGATGGGCAGTGGAAGAGAAATAAGAAATGAAAATGCTCTCAATTATGTCAACAAACATATTAAATTTAACTGTGTGAATTAAAAAGAAATAAATCCAGCAAGTGGAAAGAGTACACTAAGCGGGATCAGGAGCCAACAGCTATTTTTGTGGAAATAAACTGAAATTCTAAAGAAATATTACATTATCCTCATGAACCCAAACTAGTGCTTTATTTAAACCCAGTAGCTAAGTTTTGGAAAACATAAGATAATGGGATTTTGGTGCTGGAAGAATCTCAGCTAGAATCTCCAGATTCTTTTCTTAAAAATGAGGAAACTAAAGCACAAGGAGGATTATCTGGTCAAAATATTGAGTATGAACCAGGATAAGAATTTTATTCTTTCTAAACACTGGTCCTAGTTTCCTGTTACGGACGTACTGAATCACACATTTAGCAGTTACCACTTTCATTGGATAATAAAGTGGATGATCTTTGGAGTCTTTGTTTTAAAGGCATTAATTCATTCATGAGGACTCTGCTCTCAGACCTACTCACCTTGCCAAAGCAACACCCCCAAATATTATCACATTTGCAATAAAGTTTCAGCATAGGAACTTTGGAGGGACACAGACATTTAGTAGATCTCAATATTCCCAAAAGTCAGCTACAGATTCAGTGGAGTCCCTACCAAAAACCCAATTGCATTTTTTGCAGAAATGGAAAGCTGATCTTCAAATTCATACGGAATTTTAATTGGCTCAAAATAAACAAAATTATATTGAAAAAGAAGAACAAAGCTGGGGGAGCCATATGTCTCGATTTCAAAATTTACTACAAAGATACAGCAATCAAAAGAATGTGGTACTGGCATAATGGTAACTACGTAAACTAACGGAATGAAATCGAGCCTCCAGAAATAAGTCCATAGCTCTATACACTACTGATTTGCAACAAAGGTGCGAGCACCATTCACTAGGAGACAAAAAGTCTCTTCAATAAATAGTGTGGGAGAAACTGATTCACGTGTCAAATTATGCAGTTGGATTCCTATCTTATACTATATACATAAATTAACTGAAAACACGTAAAACTATGAAAGTCTTTTTTTATTCTTCAATTTTTTATTTTATTGTTTTTTACTTTTAACTGTCTTAAAAATTTATAAATATAATTTACTGTCACTTTCTTACACCATACACAAAAATAAAAGTCTTAGAAGAAAACATAGGGGCTAAATCTTCATGCCTTGGATTTAGCAATGGATTCTTAGAAATGAAACTTTAAAAGCACAAACAGCAAGAGAAAACTAGATGCATTGGATTTTGTCAAAATTAAAAACTTTGTACATCAGAAGACATTCCCAAGAAAGTGAAAAGACAACCTAAATGGTACAAAGTGTTGGGAAATCATATATCTGATAAGGGTTTAATATCCAGAATACATAGAGAACTCTTACAACTCAGCAACAGAAAGGGAAACAACCTTATGTTTAAAAAAGGGGACGGTGGGGGGGAGAGGCAAAGAATTTGAACAGACATTTCTCCAAAAAGGATATAGAAGCACATAGAAAGATTTTTAACATCATTAATCATGAGGGAAATGCAAAGCAAAACCACCATAAGATACCACACTACACAGCCATTGCATGAGTATTAATTTTAAAAAGACAAAACCAAAACCAATGTTTCTGAGGTTATGGAGAGCTTGGAACTCTCATACACTGTGACAGGAATGTCATGGCTAAGCCACTGTGGGGAGCTGATTCCTCCAAGCATTAAATATGGAACTACCATAGGACCCTGAAATTCTACTCGTAGATACATGCCTAAAATAATTGAAAACAGGTACTCAAATAAACGGATGTACATACATGTTTATAATAACATTGTTCAAAAGAGCCAAATGATGAAAACAACCCAGGTGTCCATCAGCACATAAACGGATGAACAAATTGTTGTCAAATACCATGCGACCAAAAAGGAGAATGAAGAACTGATGTACACACGAACCTTGAAGTCTTATGTATGTTAAAGAAGCCAGACACAAAATGTTACATGTTGTATGATCCCATGAAATATCTCGATGGGTAAATCCATAGAAACAGAACGCAGACTTGCTGTTGTCAGAAGATTTGGGGAGCGGGGAATAGGAGTTACTAATGCTTACTGGGTTCCCCTGAGGATGGTGAAAACGTTTTGGAATCAGTTACAGGTGGTAGGTGTACAATATTGTGAATGCATTAAATGCCACTAAGTTATTCACTTCAAAATGGCTAATTTTATGGAGGTGCCTGGGTGACTCAGTTAAGCGTCTGACCCTTGATCTCAGCTCAGTTCTTGATCCCAGGGTCATGAGTTCAAAAACAAAAAAAAAAAAAAAAAAAAAAAAGGAGAATATTATGTAATACAACTTGACTTTGAGAAAAAGGAAAAGAAAAAAGAACAAAATAGTGAGTGTCTCAGGCCTACAGGTTTTTCCCCTCAACTTGTAGTTTTATTTTTTTATTTGAATTTTAGCTTTAGTTTTAAGGAAATATTATAACCATAGTGTTTTTTTTCATTTTAAATAAGAAGCTAAATATTATTTCCTATCACTGCTTTAAATCAAGCTAATATAAATCAACTGATAACAGCTATGTGAAATGCCAATCATTTTGTAATAATATAGTGGATTATTAGTAGTATGCTAGGCATATCAACAGAAAATGATATAATTTCATATCTGAATGTCACAATTTATATTATAAAATTTCATGAAGTTCTAAATGTAGAAAATATAAGTGACCCAAAGTGTCAAAATTTACATCTTGGTTTTAATTGGCTATGGGGTAAAATATCATTGATCTGGTATACATGAAGCAAATTTTAACGGATATTATAAGCCTGCAACAATCTTATAGACCTCATTGCCCTCTAACATAGAATAAAAACAGAGTATAAGAATTAAAGATAAATCAAAATATACAATGAAATTTAATGGAAATGGAACATATGTTTACTTATTTGGATTGGGTTGGGATGGGTTGGGATTTACTATTCATAATTTTAATTTAATAATCTATGACAGCATTTGTTTTTTTATAAGAAAAAGTGAAACTCCACCCAGTGATAATATAGTCCTAGAAATAATGCTTCACATGTGCAAAATCTTATTTGTGTATCTTTTCTCCAGTGAATAGTCACAAAACAACAAAAAATAAAACTTTCACTTTTGAGTTTATTTATAAAAATCAATTCATTGTCTGCATTTACATGTGCGTTTGAATGCATGAACGCATGTGAGTATTTCAGGGTGAGTGAGGGCAGTCATTATATTAGAGAAAATGCCACCCTCTTTTGTAGTATATTGATTTATTTTAATTCAGTGTGAACTTTCACTAGATACCTCTTTATGACATTAACAAATGGTACTTAAGCGTCTGTCTCTGCTAACTTCAGAAATTCTTGGAGAAAAGAACATTGTTCTGGTCAACCCACACAACCTAATTCACTTTTGCTAAAATGTATACAAAATCACGGATGTGTTTCTAAGTTTTATGAAATCACTGAATTATCAATTCATGAAAGACACTCATGTGTAGCTCAGTGTTTTGCTACAACTAAGACATTCTTCAAAATGAATTATTTTCATTTTTATATACCAAAATATATTTCATACACCAAAGGGTTAAAAATTTCCATATCTCTAAAGTCTCTACAGTAATATAAATTTTTACTAATCACTGTATTAAAAATTAAAATTTCTAGTGTACCACAGAAAGCAAAGCTATGTAAGAATGGTTAAAGAAAAACGTGAAATAACCCTGTCTAATAACATCAAATTATGTTATTTTATATTTAAAATTATTATTTTACAACAGCATAAGAATAGATATAATTATTCTTAAATTACTCAATAATTGTATGAGTAATGAAGGTTTTAAAAGAAAAATAATGAGTGAAGAAGTTAACAAAGCCATAGGTTTGCCTGATAAACCTCTGAGTGAAAATAAAACATTTCTGAGGATAAAGTTACTAAGCAAAATAAATATAATGTCATTCCTATTCAAGAAATGGACACTGTCAGTAATGTAAATTCATTAGGAATTGACTTTGATGGCCTTTCTACTCTTAGATTAATTCATCATTTTCCCGAGACACATCAATTACCACTCTGTCACATTAGTTTTCTGAAAATGACCCACTGTGTGACCTGAAGGAAGAGAGTCAGTTGCCAGAATGATTTAAGAAAACGAGCCTCCAAGGAGCTCCACAAAAGGCATGTTGACTAGTTCACGGGGCTTTACCCCATAGAATACTGACCCCTTTTTCCAATAACTTTTCACTTCAAAACGTGTTATTTGGAATGGAGAATGCAAACACTGCATATCTACAGAATCAAGGCTATCCAAGTACAAACCTCCCTGTCACTGAATAAAGTAGGTAAAGCAAATGAGCATTGAAAGGTATCATTTTTAGAAAAATGGTTGGGAATTATAACTCTACTTTTCTCCATTACAGCAAAATCAGGACATATTTTGATAAATATTAGCCTATATGTGTTTGCTCCCATTTTGGTTATTCTGTTATGTCCTCTCGCTTTATAGTCAGCACAAATTCCACTTTTCCCTTCTTCTTCTTGCCTCATTTGTCTTCTCTTGTCCTCTCCTCTCTGTCCTCCTAAAAGTTCCTGGAAACGAACAAAGGGAGGAAGAGAGGTGGAAGTAAAAGCTCAAAAAGAGATTAGATTTGGTGAAGTCCTTCAAGTGTTTTCTTTTTCTTTTCCCCAAGCCCTGAAGATGTTATTTTCTTAACCTCATGATTTATGGGTTGTCTTGAAACTTACTTCTCTCTGTGTCTCTCGTAGGCATGGTCCCATCTCTCATATATCATATTGATTAGTAATTTTGCAATGTATTCATTAAAAGTTCAGGTGTGCTGCTGTTTTTGTTTTTTAATTGTAAAAAATTGATGCACACATAGCCTTAACATAGGACAGGAAAACAACCACCATATGGACATTCATGTGATGAGATCATCTGTGTTGACGAGAATCTTTGTCTTTAAATTAGCAGTGCAATTTAAAATTAAAAGCTGTTTTCTTTAAAAATCTATTCCCTGTAATACTGAAGCCAAAATATGCAAAAATGTAGGCAAAATATAGCACTCTATATATTTCAAATATATATGCAAAATTCTTCCCCTCTTGTATAATAAGGATTTATACAAAAAAATCATCAAACAATGAGAATGTTACAGTTCAAGAAATTAACACAATTTATCGATATGGAGATTTCTATGAATACCCGGTAGTTTTGTGTCTGTCACAGACATTTGTTAAATGCAATAGATATAAATATAATGTAGTAAGAGAACTTACACCTCTTTTAGAGACTGATAACTGAGTGGTTACTGTTTTATCACTTACATGCCAACACTTATTTCCACTATCTCCCTCATATACAGTATTTATATCCATATAGATATATGTTACTTCTATACGATAATTATATACCTATATACACATGATACTCCTATATGGAACTTACATGCATAGTTTATATACATATAAATTACATTTTATTAAAATAATATTAAAATTACAATTTAGTTTCATGTTATAATAAAATCTGCACTATTCTCTGGACTTAGGCATGTTCTTTTTTTTTTTTTAATTTTTTTTTCCACGTTTATTTATTTTTGGGACAGAGAGAGACAGAGCATGAACGGGGGAGGGGCAGAGAGAGAGGGAGACGCAGAATCGGAAACAGGCTCCAGGCTCTGAGCCATCAGCCCAGAGCCTGACGCGGGGCTCGAACTCACGGAGCGCGAGATCGTGACCTGGCTGAAGTCGGACGCTTAACCGATTGCGCCACCCAGGCGCCCCAGGACTTAGGCATGTTCTATATGCAGCTTTGATCCGTTTGGCATTTGGGGACACAATCTTGATCCCAGTGGGGATCTCTGTGGCACCAAGGATTTTGACCTGCAGCTGTTCTATGATAATTATTTTGGTTCATGTAGGGAGTCTGAATTCTTTTTAAAAAAAAAATTTTTTTTTAATGTTTATTTATTTTTGAGACAGAGAGAGACAGAGCATGAATGGGGGAGGGGCAGAGAGAGAGGGAGACACAGAATCTGAAGCAGGAAGTCTGAATTCTTAATGAAGAGTAAGAATCACCAGCACCTCTTCCTGATCGTCAAGATAATATATACTTGAGGAATAGTTTTCTGATGGATGAACACACCCACTGGGTTGGTTAGGCCTTCCAGACTCTTCTCAGTTTCCAAGTTGTGTTTAGTTCTAAGTGAAGAACTGCACTTGTCTCAAAGACCCCAGGGACGGACTCTGTGCCCTGTTGACAGGACATGCTGATTGGTATATACCAATCGTATATACCAATATATATATATACAATGGTATATACCAATGCCAGTTCCAAACAGCCCCCAATCAACGCTCGTATTTCCTGACATACTTTATGTTATAACATTTTGAGGTAACCACATAGGAATCAAAATGAAATAGGATTAATTACTTCGCCTGTATTCCCATTCTACTTTATTCTTAGCAATCAACACGATGTCCTATTGATAATGATTTATGTATTTATATAGACTTTAAGCCCATTCTGGGCAGGGATAATGATTCGTTCATCTTCACATCACCCACAGAGTATAATATAAACGCTTGTTAGTTCAGGTGAGTCAAACACACCCAGGTATTTTGATGATCAAACTTGTTTCATAATTGAAATAATTCTGTGTTTCCACAAGTAGAAACACATAAAAACATCTCTACAGATGTTATGTATATCGGAACCACTATTAAGGCTGGTTTCATACAACATTTTGCTGTAACAAAATGGATATTTGCACTTGCAAGTCACAAAACACTAATGCAATTTAATCTTGTATTTGCAATTAATCTCTAGGATCATAAGAAATAAGGAAAGGTGAAATGGAATTCAACTTTTCTGGCCATCTTTAGCTTTTAGAGCTCATATGAGTATGAACTACTTATATAACTAAAAGATATGAGCTTATCAAACTCACTTTTAACTCACTGGTAAAGAAACAGAATGAAAAGACAGAAGAGTGCATTAAGATACTATATGTACTAGGGGCACCTGGGTGGCTCAGTCCATTAAGCGTCAGACTTCGGCCCAGGTCATGATCTTGAGGTTTGTGAGTTCGAGCCCTGGGTTGGGCTGTGTGCTAACAGCTCAGAGCCCGGAGCCTGCTTCGGATTCTGTGTCTCCCTCTCTCTCTGCCCCTCCCCTGCTCATGCTCTGTCTCTCTCTGTCTCAAAAATAAATAAAACATTAACAATTTTTTTTAAATAAAAAAAGATACTATATGTACTTTAATGGAAGAAATAGAAACAAGATGTAAATGTTTTGCAGCATGTTGACACTAAAACACACAAATTGCAACTGCCATTAAGAGATTATTTTTAAAATCTAAAAACAATTTATTTTATTTTATTTATTTTTTTTAATTGTTTTTTCAACATTTATTTATTTTTGCGACAGAGAGAGACAGAGCATGAACGGGGGAGGGGCAGAGAGGGAGGGAGACACAGAATCGGAAACAGGCTGCAGGCTCCGAGCCATCAGCCCAGAGCCTGACGCGGGGCTCGAACTCCCGGACCGCGAGATCGTGACCTGGCTGAAGACGGACGCTTAACCGACTGTGCCACCCAGGCGCCCCTAAAAACAATTTATTTTAAAGCAATCCCATCTATAGCAGTAATTATGTCTACTGACTTGAGGATAAAATAATTCCAAGACAACCTAAATTTCTCAAAGCCAGATTTTGAATTTAAATCTAGTTTTAACATTTATGTTATAGGCTACAAAAGCTATTTGAAACATGATGCACTGTATTGACTCAAAAACAATTTTTCTGAGACTAAAAAAGAACCAGAGAAGAGTAAACGGAATTGAAACTAAATTGAAATGTTTATGCAGATCCTTACTAAAGTTACTGACAAATGCCTATTACACAGTTGTTCAAACTAACTGAGAAATAGACTTACTTAAAAATAAGATCAATTGCTTGAAAAACACTGGGGCAAAACTGTAAAAGGAAATGAAAAATACAAAGGTTCATCCTTTCATTTTCTCTTCCTTTTGGAAAAGCTTGAAAGTGTTGGATTTGTCATAGTGTAACATTTTCTTTTTTTAAATATTTCATTTATTTTTTATTTTTTTAATGTTTATTCATTTTCTTGAGAGACAGAGAGAGAGAGCAAGAGTGGAGAAGGGGCAGAGAGAGAGGGAGACACAGAATCCAGAGCAAGCTGCAGGCTCTGAACTGACAGCACAGAGCCTGATGCGGGGCTCGAACTCACAAACTGTGAGATCATGACCTGAGCCGAAGTCAGACGCTTAACTAGACTGAGCCACCCAGGCACCCTAATTGTGTAACATTTTCATACAAAATCTGTTACACTGTTTCCATATGCATGAACAACATTATTCTACTTGCAAATGAGAAAAAGAGCAAGCATTAAATGTTAAATAGTACAAAGGAAATATTCAGACTTGGAGGTGGGCAAAAGTTAAGGCAGCGTGAGGGAGGCAACTTACAGTGAGTGAGAACATTTGCTTCCAAGAAACCCCGATACCTTGATTTTTTCCTGCAGTTCAATTTGTGAGGTCTTGAAGTCAGGACCTGGAGAGTTTGCACTTAATACATTTCTCCTCTCCAGAAGCTCTTCCATTTCTTCCACTTGGGCCTTTAGCCTTCTATTTTCCCTTTCCAGTCCTTGTTTTTCTGTTTCAAGTATTTCCCTCTTGTCTCGCTCCAAGATATTTTCAGCTTGCAATCTCTCTAGCTAAATACAGAGAACACAAAGAAGCAACATGTAGCATTTGTAATTATCAAAAGGCAAGGCACCCAGCAAACAAGCTCCCACTAAGAAAGGTTCACAGACACATAGATTTATATAATTTTTTTTCCAACGTTTTATTTATTTTTGGGACAGAGAGAGACAGAGCATGAACGGGGGAGGGGCAGAGAGAGAGAGGGAGACACAGAATCGGAAACAGGCTCCAGGCTCTGAGCAATCAGCCCAGAGCCTGACGCGGGGCTGGAACTCACGGACCAGGAGATCGTGACCTGGCTGAAGTCGGACGCTCAACCGACTGCGCCACCCAGGCGCCCCAAAAAAGAACACTGTATTTGTCTGAAAAGTTGTGAACAACACGAAGATCCTAAGACCAGGCCATGCCCTAAATAAATGCAGTCTTCCTCTTGGTTCATGAGACTATTTCTATAATCGTACAGACCGTATTTGTCAAATAAATATGTCAAATGAAAAATGATAATATTCTGGCAATCATCTCCACTTAAATGATGAACATTATCCATTGGGAAGGCACGAAATAATTTCTTGGGTAATTTTGGTTGGATGGGTATAGTTCATGTATTCATTCACTTATTATTTATTTACTCTACCTTTATTTATTTATTTACCATACCTTTCAAGTTCCACATATTATACTAATCACTGAGGACAAAGACAAGCGAGTGAAACAAAATAGTATAATCCATAATTAAAGTACTATAAAATATAGTCAAGCACACATGAGTGAGTGGCTAATTGGATTTCCAGAGAATTCGAGGTTGACAACCATGGCCAGGGGGCCACATCTGACCCATCTCTTTTAGTATACCCCATGATAATAGTAGTTTTTCATTTTTTTATAGTTGAAAACAATTAAAAAAGAATACTACTTCAGGCACACTGACATTATACAAAATTCAAATTTCAGTGTCAAAAAAATAAAGTTGTATTGGAATGCAGTCATGTTCATTCATTGACACATTGCTTATGATTATTGTCGCACTAACAATGGCAGAGTTGAACTGTTGAGACAGAGGCTGTATGACCAGCAAAGCCTAGATTATTTACTATCTGGCCCCTTAGGAACAAAGTCTGCTCACTTCCAATTCTGTCCCATGATTCTCAACCACGGCTGCACATGAGATTGCCTTAGGGAGATGTTGGTAATTACTGGTGAACAAGAACCCACCTCTAGGAGCTTTGATTTACTGAACTTAGGGTAATTTTAATGTCTCTCTCCCTTGGTCAGTTTTGTTGTTTTAATATTTTTCTATTTAGATTTTAAAGAGGCAATATCAAACGTGCTTATTTTATTCAGTTTCATTATGTTTAAATATTTGCTCGTTATTATAATGACAATAAATTATAATTGCCTGCTATGATTATTTTTTTTTCTTGTTCTGGATGTTGTAAGTAGAAATGATTAGTAGCTTTTTTAGCTCTAAATTCTAATCCTGAGCTCTGAATTCTAATCTTGACTTCACCATTAATTCTGTGGGTAAATTCGGTCAGGCAACTTAATCTCCCCATGTGGACAATTTATTCTCTAATGTAACAGGGTCTGTGAGAAGTAAAATTAATTAAATTGACAGGAAAACACTTTGCATAGCAATGTTCTACTTAGAGAAAAAACACTGTGGTCATATAATTTTGGGGAAATAATTATATACGTATTTCTCTCATAATTTGAGCATATGTATATCCAAACGTCAAAGTAATTTTATGGCATACATCTGTACGGTGAAGCCACACTTCACAGTAGAAAAACAAGTAGAACCTAGTCCTGATTCCGTCACTTATCATTTTTTGGCTGATTCTGAATACAGCGTTTCCTCTTTTTGTTCCTTTTTTAAAAATAAAATTCGGATGAGAACACCAGACCCACCAAATCCGTGGAATTATAAGGGCTGAATAAAAAGTTATTTGAAATGCCTTGTAAACTATGTAACATGATTAAAATGTGAGACATTTTTAAACTGTTAAGGATAGAAATTGGAAATTATTCATTTTTACATAGTTTAAAACGGCTTGATTGCAAAGTACTGATTAGTATTATAATATTATAAAGTATTTTTCATGACATTTTAAATTCTAAAAGAGAGATCAACTTAAGGAAAATGTTAGACTTCAAAAATATCTTTGGAAATGAATTTGCATTAAAAAATTTCTAAAACACCCTTTTTCATATACACATAATTATACCATTATTATAGAAAATAGTCTGTTCCCAAATCAAAGAGATGTTCCGGCTTCTAAAAAACAGGAAACAAAAATTACATGCTTGAGACTGGACCTTGTGTATCAACTAAATATCATAAACTAAAGGACCAAATTTTAGACGATGTGGTTAAACATGTGGAGTATCTATTGGGGGATTTAAGGTGAAAACAGTATTTCAAAATCCAATTACCAACATGACATTTCTTTAATTATTAAGGTTCATGCTTAAACATTTTGACTATCATCATGTCACTTATGAGAATTAAAATAATAAAGCTGTAAGAAAAAATCATTAACTTAGTGATGAAAATTAATTTTAGGGGCGCCTGAATGGCTCAGTTGGTTAAGCATCCAACTTCAGCTCAGGTCATGATCTCACGGTTTGTGGGTTCAAGCCTCCATGCTTACAGTGTAGAGCTTGGGATCCATACCTAAGATTCTCTCTCTCCCTCTCTCTCCGCCCCTCCCTGACTCATGCTTTCTCTCTCTCTCAAAGTAAATAAATAAAATTTTTAAAAAAACTTTTTAAAAAGAAAAATTAATTTGGGGAAAAAAATATATATTTTGGCCAAGGGGATATATAATATGATGGTATGTCAGGGTATTATGAAACTGTAGGCATTTAAAAGAAATAGATGAAGTCCATTTTATTACTAATAACAGGTAACAGATAGAACTAAGGTTTTAAAAAAGTAATAGATTGTTTGATTGAATAAACTCTAAATCTTTAAAAAAAATAAAGGAATGATTTTACCAGTCATAACAACAAATCTTAAATAATCACGTCTGATTATTTGTTATTTGCAGCCTATTAACACAGTGTGATTATATGATAAATTTATGTATACAAGACACAGCAAAAAAGTAAAGGTTATGTGGAAATTGGAACATCACAAATATTATAAGCAGTTTAAAATTTGTTTTAAACATTTATTTATTTTTGAGAGAGACAGAGTGTGAGCGGGAGAGGGGCAGAGAGACAGGGAGACACAGAATCGGAAGTAGGCTCCAGGCTCTGAGCTGTCAACACAGAGCCCGATGCAGGGCTCAAACTCGCAGACTTCAAGATCATGACCTGAGCCAAAGTCGGATGCTTAAGCGACTGAGCCACCCAGGTGCCTGATATTATAAGCAGTTTTATTTCTGTTTTCATTTCACAAATTTTTTTCTTATCAAATTATTCTTTTCCAAGAATCATATGAAAATCAACCACATTAAAAGCCATTCAACTAAATGCAAGTTAAAAAGACAAAATAAACATCAGGTACTATTTTAAGCCCTCAGATTTATGGTAAGCAATTCCAAGAATCACCAAATTGAATGCAATTCCATGGATTTGCTTCTACTGATCAAGAGAACATCTTAAAATATTTTAATTCTAACTCTAAAATTCTATGAATTTTAACTAATCATAGGTACTATTGTTAAATTTCAGGTAATATGAAAAATTACTGAAAAAATGTTTTCTAAAAATTTTAAGGTAAAAATATATTCTCTTCAGAGTAATCAATATTTGTTGCTTTAATGATTTCCAATGATATACATATTAAGCACCAAGAAAAATATATAAATACCCAACTGTTCAGGTGTTCAACAATTATTGAGTATCTATTATGTAAGAGGCAATGAATATTCTATTTCCAAAATACAAATAAACACATGGGTATAAAGTGGGTAGAGATTCACGGAGGAGGAAACAACCTGTGTTCTGAGAAAGGCCTGTGATAAATTAGGCAATCAGAGGTTATTTGAATGAATAGTATATAAGCTGAAATCTGAAGTTTAAGAAAGCATAGAGTCAGAATCAAGGCAAGAATGTCCCAATAGAGGAAGCAGGAAATAGGTTTGAGCATTGTAAGAGGCAAGTGTTCAATCATGGTGTGGGGTAGAGTAGGATATAAAAGGAATCTGGACAAGCAGGCAGTGGTTCTTGAAAGCAAGTGTGAACACAACAATCATTTGAGTTGCTTGTGGAAAATGTAATATTGTGATTATCCTTAAAGATAGAATACGGGGTCATTTATAAACATTTACAGCTACTCACTCGATATTCACCAATTATTAGTGCTTGACAATTTTGAGAAGACATCAAAGATCCCAATCAAAGCAATAACTAGAATGTAGGTTTATGAAACCAGAGCTGTGCCATTTTGTTCATGAGTCTGGGACCTGACACAAGCTACGTCAGTGATCTATGAGGAGAAAGTACACAATAGTAGTCTCTAGGAAACAGCATTCCTATATTTCAATCACAACAATTACACACAAAACAAAATTAAGAAAGCATCCTAGAAGAACCAGTCATTTAGCCTACAGTATGTAACACCAGGAGGATTTCTCAGCTTTACTCTTAAGTCATTTCTCAGCAGAGTTCCACTGCATTTTGTGACAGGTGAACGCAGTGACATAAAGACAAGACTTACGGCAAAATGACCTAGAGTTGGGTCCCAATTCTCTTCATCTTGAAAGCCTCCATTTTTCATTTATAAAATGTAGAAAATACTTCCTAGAGCCTAGTCTTATGAGGCAGAAATTCTATTATTTAGGGGAAATATTTATTCCAAACTCAAATATTTCATGTGATAAATTTGTTTTCTAAAGAATAAAACATAGCAATGGCCAAATCAAATAAGGACGGATGGAAATAGTCTATTTCTTTTTCCTATTTTATCAAGATGATGGTCATTTTGTAAATGGACCTTGTCAACTGAGGAAAGCCCCAACAGAGAGCACTGTGTGACATTCTGTAGGCCAGTGAGGAGTCACCT